TCATCATTATTTCTGAGTTTTCCTTAATGCGTGCACACCGGAATGCCAGTAATGATCAAACTTTTACAAATTTATGAAAGTTGCACGTTGCGCCACTCGTGGCTTGAAACCGCGACCTGTTTATTAGACGCGGCAGCAGCAGGACTACCGGAAACGGGATCAGACACAATTAATGACCAAAATAAACAGCCATTAAACGCATGTCAAGCACGCCTACGCTGCGCACGCTGGACCTATTTTTCCGATCAATAAGAAGCTGTCGACACTGATGCAACTGACTGTGCACCTTCTACTTCGAGATGTTGTGGAAAGTGCAAAGTGTCGTAAAATGTTACTTGGAGATGATATCGATTGATCAACCTCTAGGACATAAATAACAAAACAGCGAGTAAGAACTAGCTTCACAAACTTTCTCCGTCAGCCTCTGCTTTAACCTACCAGAATTTGTTTTGCTCTCGTGCATGCAGCTTAGGAAGGGGATCATGGATTGGTCCAAATTTGACGCATTTGAGGTCAGCGTATATGCTGATTTCTTAAGTTACATACACAGTGAAGAACACCATTCTGTTATGCATAATCTTGTCAACCCTAACTGTGAGTCCTCCCTTGATTTATACGCATAGGCAAGACCATTTGAATATTATGTTACATATATTTTTGCTTTCATCCATCGTCTGAATCAGGGTCATTTCAGCAGGCTCGCCGAACCAAACATGTTAATTGAACTATGGGACTACGCTATGCCCCTGCTGGGCTTGCTGTGTCTGGCGCTTCTTGCTTTCGTTACTGGCGGACATCAAAGAGAAGGCCGAACACCATTCCACGCAAACAGCCAAAGGAGACTCAAACCATGGCGCAGTTCACAATAGAAGTACATTGAAACAAATCATGTTTATCCTTCAAATTGCATTCATCCTTCATCTTAACACACACATCATTATGGCTGTGCATTGCCTTCGTAGCTGAAAGAATACCGAACTTTTATACACTGTTCTTGTCGGGAATTTATACTTAAAATTCAAAGCAGAGTTCCCCAGGTGCAAATTTGTAAATTGCGCTATATGGCGGCAGCCTATATACGGCGGTGAAAACCAGACCTATGTAAACAGTTGGAGAATGTGGTTGGCCTAGTTTTGCCCTGATAAAATCCGGCTCCCAGATTTACACAGTCCCCTTCACAATTTTTTCTGCCTTAGACGTTTTTCCCCATTTTTGCTGCCCACAGTGTTTTAACTTTCCTACGTTATTGATTTGCCTCTTGACCATATCCTATGACCTTGTAGTTTGCATCGATTTTTCTATATGAGTTCAATTTTGTATTTTCTCCTACTTCATTCATGTTGTGCAATGAGAGGTAGCAGCTGATGAGCGCTCCTAAAATTTATGGATCCAATAAATCCTGCTGTTCTTGCAAGTTACAAAAATTTACAACTGTTATTTTAAACAGAAGATTTCTTTTGTTTCCACGGTGGTGAGAATGTTCGTCAATAATTATAACAGAGTCGGTTTATACTGAGATTCGGATTCAGCTGTTTTAGAACTGATGGCATATCAGGTAAAGGTTGCGCAGTAATTCTCAGTGATGACAAGATAATTACTTTTCCAAAACACTTAAAGCAAATGCTATCCCATAATAATAAGATAAAATAACGGATTTATTATCTCTATGCATATTTGCGTCTCTAATTAGATGCCTGCTGTCCTACGAGGTCTGTCCGCAGTGACCATATCAAAGAAGGAGATATATCGAACATATAATTCTGCCTGCTTTGATCGGCGATGATATTACGCTGTGAATGTTTATCAGTGGAGCTGAGTTCAAACTGACGAGCAAAAACACGAATAGTTAGATATTCAAAAAGTATACGAATTCCCTGGATGTGCGCTGAGGTTCAAGATTATAGGTTTTATCTTTGACTAGTGTTGCAACATATTATACTGACAAAGTGCAGACGCTATGATTGTCCGCAAACTGCCGACCCATTTCGTATTCTAGATATCATGCAAACTTACTTTTCAACAATTTTATCCCCTTAAATATACCTACGGAATTATAAAGGATGCGACACGGCTACCTTAGCAGTCCAAAACTTAGGAGTTTGAAGCAATATGAAGCCAGCAGTTAATCTGCACTAACATAATTTGATCTAGGATGACATTTTATGCGTCCTTGGCAGACATCTGCGTTCTGTGATGTCTAAAAGGTCCAATCGCATGTCTTAATTGCTGAGGCAAGAATTTGACTGAAGCCTCTTAACTGCGACTGA